AGTAACTGCATTTATATACTGTTGTCTAACATAACTCAATCAAAAGTTAACAGGTTCAATGCCTGGTAATATCCAATTTTTTCTTTTGAGGATTTCGGAATCAGGAGGGCTGGTCGTATTTTTTTGTTTTTCCACTGGATAGTCTACTTTTTACTATTGATTAGTGGTCCAATGCTTGTTAAAACATGGTGTATTATTAGCATTTTCAGTGGCTATTGTCACATAGTTTTTGCCAGCACTCTGGTCATTAACCTTTTCTTACGTATTAGAGTTATGTTTATTGACTCTTTAACACTATACTTTAGTGCTTTACTTGTTTGTCAGGTAAATTATTTGCTGTTGACATAAATGAAGGTCGATTGCGGATACTCAGAGAGACAGCCAAGCTGCACCAAGTTATTGATGTTATCAGTACTATCCATTCTGATCTTCGATCTTTTTCTGTAAGAACTTGCAAGTTCTAACAAAAACGCATGGTATTTTACTGTCTATCTGCTAATCCCTGGTTTAACTTTAAACAGACGGATAAACTCGTAGAATGGGATAAAGTTTTACTGGATGCACCTTGTTCAGGGCTTGGTGTTCTTTCAAAGGTATTTCCATTCAAAGATGTACACAATTTTATAGTTTGATATAAGCTTGCTTGGTCTAAAAGTTTTGGTCCTTCATTCCTCTTTCTTCTTTTGTCATATTCACTGTTCTTGCTAGTTGCTTTTATGGTTCATCCTTCTTTAAGCCAGAAGTGGTAGTATAGATGGGTCATTTGAAATGTGTATTTCTTCTTTGTTTTGAGAAAGCGAGCAGATTTGCGTTGGAATAGGAAACTGGAAGACATGGAGCAACTTAAACATTTGCAGGATGAGCTTCTCGATTCAGCTTCCAGGTAAAACCAATAGTTCTTAATTCATAATTTAAGTGTAACCTTGACCTGAATTACTGTTGCCAGTGAATTTTCTCTTTTAGAAATATATTGAGTAACTTTTTCCTAGTAATGACTGGTGAGGGTAATGCAAGTTCTAAAGTGGATTAAAAGGCACAAATCTTTATAATGATTCTCCTATAGAGGACTAGAGAGTTGGAAAATGAGATGAATAAACTGAGTTGGTGTTATTTATAACTCAATTTGCCCGCTTTATTAAGTCATGGCTGGTTAAATTTCTTACTGCAACTACACGTACTTACAGTCTGAAATGCCTCTAGGTTTTATGCATTATGAGCTGCTATCTTTACACATTAACATATGATGTTCTATCTTTGTTTCCTTTCCCTTTATGTATTTTTCTGCTTCTGCAGGTTGGTGAAGGCAGGTGGAGTGCTAATTTACAGCACATGTTCCATTGACCCTGAAGAGAATGAGGAAAGAATTGAAGCTTTTCTTTCAAGGCATCCAGTAAGAAACTTTATTGAAGCATGTTAATGGCTCTGTCTCTCAGCTCCAAAGTTATTTCTTTCATAAAATCAGCTACAACATATATATTATGCTAAAAAGTAAAAACCCATTTCAGGCATTAAGGAGTGAGGATCTTGCTTCCTGTTGAGTTCGTGGTAAATGGGACTATACGCTTTAAGTAGGAAGTATATCTATATTTGTCAAATAACTTTACCATGGGTATATGCTTTATGTAGATAGTATATCTATATTTGTCAAATAACTTTTCACCCAATGGAAGACAGACCAAATATTCAGGAAAAAAAGGAAAGAGAAGAAACTGACGTGTCCGAAATATATAAGAAACTGCTAGTGTCAATTCTACTTTATCATCTGGCTTCCACATATATTTTCTTTCATAATTTTGGCATCTTATCTTGATATTCTCCTGTCTGGATTGATCATCCACGTATTCTCTCTGGTTTAGAGATAAATTTATCTTCTAGTCTAGTTTCTATTCCTGCACATTGGTCCAACTATTACCATCATTTTCTATTCATGCACATTGATCTGACTGTTTCCATCATTTTCCTTGCAGGAATTTGACATTGATCCTGTGAACAAATATGTACCGGAGAATTTTATTACTACCCGAGGTTTCTATATGTCTAATCCTGTGAAGCATGAACTTGATGGAGCCTTTGCAGCTCGTCTGGTTAGGTCTCAGTAAATTGAGAACAAGGAGCATTTTCCACAAATTTTTAGTATGTCGTGAAAAAGCATCTTTAGGACAGAGAGCTCTTTTCCACAGACAACCAAGTTTTTGCTTTTATGCCTTCCCTACAGCATGAGAATCCAGACCATCTCTTTTCACATATTTCTCAGGTAGAGCGCGTCATCAGTTTAATAGTCATGAAATCCTAATTGACTTACTTCTTCTGTAAAGCATGTTTTTTGTCAAATAAGTGCATTGTTGAATTGTATGACCAACTCATAACACTCGAGGTGTTAGAGAGAGACTTGAACCCAAGACCTCTACTTACTCCAGTATCATGTAGAATTGTGCGACCAAACTCATCTAAAAGTTTAAGCTATAATTTTGCCTAAACATGCAAAAAGCTATAATTTTGCCCTTCCATAATTTCAGGTCGTTCATGCAAAGCCTTATATGCAATCCACTCTTCAAGTTTGAGAGCTCAAAGGCCATCATCATACGGTACAGCAACCATACAAGTTATAAGCATACCGCAACAAGATGAAATATCATTTTATATGGCATTCTAGTGTCCAGTTGCTGAAAGATGGGATGCAGAGGCAGCAGGCTGTATTGTTCTCGTCCACGAGAATCTGAGGTGTGAAACATCTCAAATGACTCTAAGGTGAGTTCTGAGGCTTTTTCTTCGCCTCTTTGCAGAACGTAAAACTTGTGTGTTTATGGCATTATGGGTGTCTCTTCATTTGCTGTGAAGAGTGACAGAGGTGACTAATGTGAGTTTTGCCCCCCCCCCCCCCCCTCCCCTAAATCAATGATGATGTATATGAATCAGAACTTTTTTCTGTTCACTTTGTGTCACTAAGATTTCAGATTAGAATAGTAATCCTTATATTGTGTTTAGAGTTTAGACCATTTGTTTTCATGTTAAAATATACCTGTTTATTAGATAATTAACAAGTTTTTAGTTTCTTAACCTCCCCATCTTTGAGTTCCTATTAATTCAATTTCAGTACAGTTAACAAGGGTACTATGACACTAATTATCCCATAATGATTGGATGGATTGTTAAAGATACTTTAGTAATTTGACTTGTAATTTTAGGGGTTCATGCTTGTAAAATTATATAGACTAGTTTCATATCATGTGTGTGTTGTACGTGTATATCAAGTTATGTAATATATGATTTTGTATATAATATACAATCTTTTAAAAATAAAGTTGAGTAAATAAATATAACGAATGAAAGTTTCTATGAATAATCAATTTGGATCGTAGTCCTATTCGGTACATGTTTTTTTATTATTACTTATTTTGATTTATGAGGTACAAACATAAAATGAGATGCAGAGGCAGCAGGCTGTGTTGCCTCTGTGTGAATGTTTTAGGCATAATAGTCGATTTGATTCGCATGTATCCGGAAAATTTTATATATAGGAGAGTGACGAGCGACACTTGTAATTATATATTTATTGCAGATCCATGTGAGTTCTCTTGAATTTGGTCTTAAATACTTCTAATTTTGACTTCATGTATCTCGAGATGTATGTATCTGGATGCACAAAATCTTATAATATTCGTAATATTGCAAATTAGAGTGTATCGAAGTAATAAGCTCCTAAACTAGTAAATTTACGTAAGCTTTCCTTTAATATAATATATTTCGGAAATCATATTTACTTGTCAACTTATACTATTTGGAAAGCCCGGTAATACTTGTCCAGTTTATAAACTAAAACCAATTAATAATTTATTATTTTGTGTCTAGTTTTACCCTTGTTATCGAGTACTATTCATTTTGCAATATTTGGATGACATCTAACCAACAAGGGTGATATAGTAGATTATTCCTTTATTTATTATTTCTTAAAGAGGGTGTCAAGTCAAACATTAACAAGTAAAGATGGACGAATGGAGTAGTATATACATACATTTAGAAGAATAAATCGATAAAAATATCTTTTACTTTCTAGAAATGAGTATTTTCTTTAGGAATGTGTGCCACTTAGGTCTTGTTCGTTTTTATTAAAATTAAAACGTCGGAATCAAAATGCATATTTGAATGATTTAGATCTTGTTTTGTACATTCCTTGATTAACACTATTTGTCTTCATAAATTTGTTTACACATTCATGAGGTCTTTTTTGCATTTTAATCGAATAAAACTTTTACAATAAATTCTATCAATTCTTAAAAGGAAAAAAAATAAAGAATTAAAAGTTTAAAAGAAATAATTTGAATAACTAATAAAGTTTGAGAATGAGAAGAGCTTGAATATATCTTTAAAGAAAAAAATATGAAGCATAACTTTTTTTCAAAAATAAAAACGTCTTTAAAAAAACCTGAATGAGAATAAGATTCTATCACAATTCTAATTCATTTATACTATTAAAAGTATATGGATTTACTGTAACAGTGTGAACAAAAATTATAATAACAGGAATAATTTTTTTTATATAAAATAATTTTCATGCAACTACTATATTAGAGACTCTTAAAATAAACTTAAGAAGAACGTCTTCCCACGCAGAGTCAAAGCAATTTTTTGGAGTTTTGAGTCAATTTTCTTCTTCTTCTTCTTCTTTGAAAATGTAATTTGTAAATTACTTCGACAAATTTTAAAGATTAATTTTTATTCTATACTATTTTTCTATGGATCTGTTATTAATTTGGACTTAGTAATCATAATATTTTTTTGGACCAACGAATAATGACCCTTGACTTGAAAATAGAAATTAAAAGTATAAGCAGCCAAACACACACAAATCTGCATGTCACATTAATTATTACTACTATTACTTTTGGCTGGAAATGAGTTTTAATTTTAAACAAATGAAAATGGGGTCTAATTTAAACTTTCTTGGGTTTCAAGAAAAATAGAAAATTTAATATAAATGACTTTAAAAGTTGATATAGTTTTTAGGTTTGATTTGGGTTTTAATTTGAAAAAGTAACAATATAAGACAAGGTTGAGATTTGAAAACATTCATAAGGTAGTTTTTTTTTTTAAAAAAATATTGTTCATCCATAAAAATAATACGTTTAAATTTATGAAAATAATTTAAGATTAATTATGTGAGTTAAATTGATATTGCAATGTAATGATATTGAAATAAATCCATAAAAGGAAAGATAAATGAATATTAAAACAATAGTAATTGAATTGTGTATTGAAATCCTGCACTTTTGAACCAAAAACTCGTATATTTTATTTAAAATCTATGCATATTTTTAAAAAAATTAAGCTTTTTTGGGCACATTCTAAGTTTGTTAATATTTCTTCACCTATTAAGATAATGTGATTTCCCATTGATGATGAATTAGTAGGGTCGTAATACCATATAGTTGTACAGAAAAAAATTTGTAGGCCATTGGGGGCTTACCTAGAGATAGTCGAAGAGGTTCATCCAAACTTTTTTGGTGAAAAATTATATTATATATAAGATACTTTAAAAAAATTTATGTCTATATTGATTTTGAACTTCATAATATAAGATTAGATGTTGTTTTAGTAATTAAGGTTATAACACTCACCTCAAGCAATGACGTAGTTACATGGTTGTCAACGTGTCCAATTGGACAACCTTTCTAGGAAAAAAAATGTTGTATGTGTTGAAGAAGAAGGAAGGTGACGATTGAAACATACATGTCAAAAGGAACAGGTCCAACAAAGGCGACTAGAGAGTTTACAACATTGTTGTAGAATTAGAGTTGCACTAGGATTAGACTACTCATGTTATTAGGATTATATTACGACTAGGATTAGATTACGATTAGGATTAATATAATACAACTAAGTAAACTCGTTAGTCAGCTTCGTTGGACATGTTACATGTTCCAATCTTCAGCTTCCTTCTTCATCAACATTTGTTGTAGACACGTCAGTCAGCTGCGTTGGACCTGTTCGTTTGATATGTTCGAATCATCAGCTTCCTTCTTCTTTAACAGTATATATAAGTAAAATAATACACAAAATAATTAAATAACATAATTTGGACACCCTTAACTCAACAAGCAGTAATTTAGATGTTTGAATTAAAATTATGCTCACGTGTTTAAATCTCACTAGTTCTACTTTTCTTCAAATCCCCTTAATTAAATTTCTGTATCCGCCACTGTAGGCCATTAGCCTGACAACCTCATGTAAAGTGGCCCCCATCATCACGTATAACCTAGAAGAAGAAATCAACAAATTTGAGTTATGGTCTAAATGGACCCAATTACACGCCACCACACCAATTACACACTACCTTCTCAAAGGACCCTATTGAAAACTACTTGTCCCCATGCATCACTTTATATTATATATATATATATTCACTACCTGTCTACTTTCATTCATCACACATTCTTTTAATTCATAGCTTAATTACCTTCATTCATTTCTCAAATTCTATTAATTCATTCATTTAACCTAATTGATCATATAATTAATATCCATCTTTATGGAGAAAATGTTGGTCCAAATCAATGGTGTTACTAAGATTCATGAGCTTCTTCCGGCGATTAACGATGAACATGGAGGTGTTACTGTAAAAGTTGAGACTCCAATGGAACCTAATGTCTTTCATTACATGCTTAAACATTCGATAACAGAGTGGAAGATGCAGGTATTAATTACGCAGAAATTATTTGTTGATTAATTTGTCTTAGTTAGTTATTAGTGTATATACTTAATAATTACTAATTTATTTTATTTTTGCAGGGAAAGAAGGGTGTATGGATTAAAATCCCTATTGAACTTGCAAATTTAGTTGAGATTGTAGTAAAGGTAATTAATTAATTTCTTCAGCATATGTACTTAAAAAAATTTTATTATTATTTTATCATGGTGTTTGTTTAACGGGCCGGGTTAAGTTGGTTCCTCCGAAATAATCACAATAATAAAATTTACATGTAGCGGAAAATTGAGTTGATGTTGTTGCATTTAGAGTCCTTAAAGTCTTTAACAACATTTATATAGAGTGCTAGTTATAATATATGCTCATATTTAATATTGCGGCTAAATACAATTATATTATTGTCGTTGAATAACTGATGCTAAATCCATTATTTATTATATGGATGTGTTTTCATTGGTGATCAGTGGCGTAACTACGTGGTGGTAAGGGTATCCAATTGGACATCCTTCGTCGAAAAAAATATACCGTATATACAAGTAAAATGATATACGAAATGATTAAATAACATAATTTGGACACTCTAATTAACACAACAAGCTATTGTAGCCCAAGGGCTTCAGATGCTTGGAATGAGATAATAGTGCTCGCGTGTTTGAATCTCAATAATTCTACTTTTTGAGAAAAAGTTTTTGTTGTGCTATTTCTGGACACCCTACATGAAATTCTTGATTCTGTCCCCATTGGTGATTCAACACGAGTGCAACAATACTTTTTTTTTTTTGAGCAAAAATTAAAATAAATTGTGAAATGTGAACAGGAAGGGTTTTGGTATCATCATGCAGAACCTGATTACTTGATGCTTGTGCATTGGATTGCTGATAGTGAGAGTACTATACCTGCAAATGCCTCACACAAAGTCAGCATTGGTGCTATTGTACTCAATCACAAAAGAGAGGTAATTTCAACTTGCTTCAATATGTCCTAATTCATGTGATACACATATGCGGAGGCGGATTTAAAATTTAAAATATTTCTGGTGCACCAGTATAATCTTAATTTAACATTAGTGAAACTTACAATAGTTCTGATTGAGCCCGAACCCAGGTCATAAGGGTGGATTCTTTGGAAAGTGTCATTTTGTACTTTTCATGAGTGTACTGTAACTTATATTTAATTTTTGTCAGTTTTCCAATATATATATATATATATATATATAATATAATTTTTTTTTCAAAATTAACGAATGCACATGCATCCTCACCTTCAGCTACGAGATAAATACAATTACTTTCTATTTGCATGCTAATTAGAAAACTATTTACACTAAGAAAAGTATATTATGGTTTATTATGAAAAAATAATTGTTGTTTTTCAGTTGCTTGTTGTGCAAGAGAATATTGGCAGATTAAAAGGAAGTGGTATCTGGAAGATCCCTACTGGTACTCTTGAGGAGGTATATTTGCTTTTTAATTGAATCTAGATAATTTTTATTTTATTCGTTCAATTTGTATAATTTATTTTGACCTAACATAATATTTAAGAAAAGAAAAAGAAATTTTAAATCTTGTAATCTAAAATTAAAGATATGTCAAGTGTTTCAGAATGTTATCTGATCTCGTAATATTAAACATGTTATGAAGAAAGTTATGCCAAAAAAAGAAAAGAGTCATCTTTAAAAAAAAATAGAATTACGAATAAAAGGTCGATTATATTTTTTTATTTTTCATGTATAGTATGTTGAGACGTTTTTCGATATTTGATACATTTTCAGGGTGAGAGTATATTTGAAGGTGCAATAAGGGAGCTAAAAGAAGAAACTGGAGTAAGTATAAATACATTTATATAATTAATGAATTTTAATTATGTAGATGTATACATTATTATATTTTTCATGTTACTAATATGTGATTTATTTATTTATTTTTCTCTTATATATTAATTCCAGATTGACACAGAATTTATGGAAGTGCTTGCATTCAGGTAGGAAACTTTTGCCACAAGAATATTTTGAAAATTAAGGAGAAATTATATTTGTCATGGCTAAGACTAAAAAGATTTAACTTTTCATATTTTAAGAAAAAGTCAAAAAGAATATTATTGAGTCATGATCAAATATTGAAATTTAATTGCTAACAAGTCAAAAATTTAAGATTCAATTAGTCAAGGTCGTCGACCTTTTATTAATTGTGTATACAAAAAAAAATAAAAATTACTCCCTAGAACCATTTACTTGTATCCTTACTAAGGACCCGTTTGGCCCAAGAATACTTTTGAGAAAAATTTGGAAAAAGTGGTGTTTAAATATATTTGTCAAGTATTTCAAGTCGTCAAATATTAAAAAATATATATATATAGTTGAGCCAAATTTTAATATTTGAATTTTGTTTTAAAAAAATCAAAATTAATTCCAGTATTATTTGTTACTACCTCCTCCGAAAAAGTTAGAGTTCTAATTTGAGGAATAAATTTGAGAAAAATAAACAATTTGTGTTTAATGAGTTATAATTATAAATGAACAATGACAAGTTTGAATATGCAATTAATGAATTGTCTTACCTATGTTGTTATCAATTATATTATAAGGTTATTTTTAATAGAACATATCCACTATAAAATGATAATATAAATTTATGGGCATTTTTAATAATTTCTAAAATCAATGAGTACAAATCATATTTTTTGAGATAGTCCAACATTTATAAAAAAATTTGTAGCCAAACACATAATGAAGCTTCGCTAATATACTTTACCAAAAATATTTAAAAACGTGAGATCAAACGCTAGCTAAAAATAGTTCGAGAATAATTGTCATGGAAACTTGTGCCGGCTAAATAGGAGACATTGAGAATGAGTTTGGAAGAAATCAAAATTAGAACAATTAATTAGCAATTGAATATTGTGATACAAAAAAATTCTTGACATAAATTTCAATAACTAAATATTAATCATATGGTCAATTGTATGGACTTTTTCAGTATGTTAAATAATTATTTTTTGATTGAAAATCATTTATGCAGGCAAATACCCAAATCATTTTTTAACAAGTCAGACTTATTCTTCCTTTGCATGATGCGTCCATTATCATTTCACATCCAAAAGCAAGACTTAGAAATTGAGGCCGCTCAGGTAATTATTAAAAATACAAGTAAAGAATTGAAAAAAATTCTCTGTTTTACTTTTATAGGTATTGAGTAATGAATTTCGTATTTAATTATCATAAAATTATTTTTGAGTTTACCGTTGTTCACTATTTTTACCTGAAATATCATACTATTATTCAAATACAAAAAGCCAACAATTGATATAATAGTTCATATAGGAAATTCAAATACACGCTGATAATACAAAAATGAAACTCAAAAAATTAAAATACTTTTTGATATGTTTTTTGACTGAAATTTTTTTAACTACGTTATTAAATAATGTTTTTTTTTTTGGTTTGCAGTGGATGGCATTTGAAGAATATGCTAATCAACCTTTAATTCAAAAAGATGGTCTTTCAAAGTACATTAGAGATTTATGTTTAGCAAAATCAGAAGGTGATTATCAAGGATTTACTCCAATGACAATAACATCATCAGTCATTGATGATCATATTAGTTCCCTTTATTTTCTTAAGGATGCTCTTCACCAGGATTAATAATTACTTACTTCTATTTTACCTAATTTGTTACAAGTACTAATTATTTGATTATTCTTTTTCAATTGCCTATACTCCAAAATAAAGTTTACGTTGTATCCAAAACAATTATTTATGTATGTATCTTTCCATATACAAAATACAATAAAGAATGTTTTTTTTTTCATTCTTATTTTCAATTTACATGCGTCATGTTTTATTAAGTCATTTTTCATTAAAATTAAAAGAAAAGTCAGTACCTCTATACTGAATGAAAAAAATAATGATATGAGTTTGATTAATTTTTCTATTTGGCTTGCTAACAAATATTTCAATGAAAAATTAGGAAAGTTGAATTTTTTTAGAGGATTGAAAAAAAAAGAGTTAAAATTAAATGACCAATTTAAAAAGTGCAAATTAACATTGAGTGGAAGTGTAGTGTACTTTTATTCCATTACAATCTATTAGCCTAATTAGTTGATCGTGATAAAAAAAACTATTGGTTTCACTTGAGTCGTTAGCGTAATGAAGAGAGATTGTGAGAATAAAAATATTTTTTTAAAAATGGAAAAAAATAATAATGGAGTTCTTAATCTTAATCATTCAAATCTAGCTCATTAAATTCGATTGATTTTTTAAGGTTTGAATCTTAATCATTTAGATTCAGTTCATTAAATCAATTTATTTCTTTTTAAACAAATCTTTTCATTAATTTGAAAATCTGAGCACATCAGATCGGTAAGAGAGTCTTAATATTATTCAGACATATTTAATTTCATGGTAAAGTATGACAAAAGTCCCACATTCGGTGGTTAATGAGATATGTAGACTCCTTATAAGGCTTGTGAGTTAGGCCTAAAATCTAATTTAACGTTTCATATGCACATTCAAATATTGAAAATAATTTCAACGTTCAGATCTAGACACCACGTCATAATATTCTTATATGTATTCAGATGTAGACATCTAAATTTTAATACACATCTTAATATTAGATTTTTATTCAAATTTAGACATTTTAATTTTAATAGATACAACTAAGGCCTTAGAATCATAGAGTAAATGAGAATATTATCACATATATCGTTAAGGTTATTGATCAGACCGTCTCAAAGTAATTGCTATAAAATTTGGATTCTCGAAACTAAATTATATGAATATTGATGAATATTTTTTTATCAAATTGTAATGAGAAAATACATAATTTATAAAGCTTTTTAGTATAGTTTAAAAATATTTAAATCTTAATTATGAAATATTTAATTGATTTAATTCAACTTAACCAAAAAAAATATTAAAATTTTGAGTAAAATAAATTAGAGGGTGGAGAATGTTGAATCTCACTGGCAGATTGACGAAATTTGAAGGCAAGTTTTGGCAATTTTCGCGAACCAATTTTTGAAAATGAATAGTTTGATGAGTTATTTTAATTTTGAGTAAAATAAATTAAAATCTATTGAAAATAATAGATAGCAATTAGTTGTTAGTTAAAGTAGTTAGTTGGTACAACTATACAGCTCATTAGTTAGTTATGAGCATAAATTAGTTATAACTGTTTTACTGAATTGGTTATGAACATGTGATGTATATATACATGTAGATACTGATCTTATCAATATACAACAAACACATTTTTTACACTACATTCTGTTATTCCTTCTTCTCTCTTCTCCAATCTTCACTTTTGCGTATCACATTCTTCTCTGCACACACCTGCACACAAATCACCATTGAAGAAGTTAATCAGCTAAGTAGTTGAGCAGCTGAGTCTTCATTGAAGGTGTTAACATGGTATCAGAGCAGGTGAGTGAATCAACAACAATGGCAGTCGATCTTGTCATCCGTTACACGCATCCTCTTTATTTGCATCCATCGGACACTCCAGGGTCTGTTATTTGTCCTGTTAAGCTGACAGAATCAGAAAATTATGGCTTATGGAGGAGAACTATGCGAATTTCTTTACAAGCTAAGAGGAAACTAGGTTTTGTAATGGGAACCTGTAAGAAGGCAAGCTTTGAAACAAAGTATCATGATCAGTGGGATACTTGCAATGCAATTGTTCTCTCATGGCTCATGAACACTGTGTCTTCCAATCTCTTAAGTGGCATTGTGTATGCATCATTAGTCTGGGAAGATCTCAAGGAACGATTTGATAAGGTCAATCATGTGAGGATTTATCAGTTACATAGAGAGATTGCTACAATTGCGCAAGGGATTGATACTGTTTCAGTTTATTTTACAAAATTGAAGGAACTGTGGGCAGAGTATGATGCAATGGTGATATTTCCAAGCTGTGGATGTTCAAAGTCAAAGGATTATGTTGAACATTTACATCAACAACGACTGATTCAATTCCTTGCAGGCTTGAATGAATCACATTCGCAGGCTAGGAGGCAAATTCTCATGAAAACTTCTGAACCAACTCTTAATCAGGCATATGCCATGATTGTTGAAGAAGAGAGTCAGAGATCTGATGTAAATCATAATTCTATGGGAATGAAATCCATAGCTGAAGGAAATGATGTTACAGCTCTTTGGACTGCTAAACATCCACCAAAAATTCGATACAAGTCTCCAAATACTTTCTGTGATCATTGTCACACAAAAGGCCATGTAAAAAATGATTGTTTTCAGCTTATAGGGTATCCATCTTGGTATAAAGGGAAGAAGAAAGATGGAACTAATATGCAACATAATGCACCTGTTTTTAAACCAGAATATGATAATCGTAATGTAGGGCCTTCTTATGGAAACTTGTCATTTTCTCACAATCATAATTCTGCAGGAGAAGTTCACAAATCTATTGGAGGAAATGATCACACAGGAGTTGGAACACATGCTCATGGTTATGGTGGATTACATGGATCTCATAATTGTTCAGGATCCAATATTACTGCTGACATGTGTGTTCATGGATATAGTTCTACAGGATCATGTAATCATGGAGGAGCTGGTGTTAACATGGCTTTTACAAGCAATCAACTCAGCCATCCTAATTCAAAAAATTCTCCTTCAACTAACACTGCAGGTATTGTTAACTGTTCAGCAGTACATAGTTCATCTAGCCATAGATGGATAGTTGACACAGGTGCAACAAATCATATGTCCTCTACTCCAGACTTGCTTCATGATACTCAACCTCTACCTACAACTGAATACAATAAGGTTCATTTGCCTAATGGTCAAAAAATACCAACTGTTTTTAGTGGAAAGTCTAGATTGACACAAGGAGATATATCTCATGTTCTATATATTCCAGACTTCAAATACAACTTATTGTCGATTTCTGAGCTGACTAAAGAACTGCATTGTTGCATGGTGTTTATCCTGATCATTGCATATTGCAGGACCTTCACACTGGGAAGGTGAAGGGGACTGGTAGCATGGAAAATGGTTTGTACTATTGGTCACACATTGTTTCTCCAACTGTTGCTTCTTCTGTTTCTCCTTCAGCTGCTTTGAGTACATTGGATAATGTTGATTTGTGGCATAGAAGATTAGGACATATTCCTCACAAGGTTCTTCAGCAAATGCAAATACCACACATCATGTCCAATATGTCCTTTGGCAAAGCAAACTAGACTGCCTTTTCCTCAAAGTTCTACTAGAGCTGATAATGTGTTTGATTTGATTCATGCTGATGGTTTGGGTCCATATAAATTTCCTACTCATGATGGAAATAGATACTTTCTTACTTTGGTAGATGATTGTAGTAGAATGGTATGGATCTTCCTCCTCAAATATAAAAGTGATGTATTTATTGTATTGAAAGACTTTCTTCAGCTAATACAAAGGCAATTTGGTGGTTATATCAAAATATTTCAAAGTGATAATGGTACAGAATTCTTTAATTCTCATTGTAGTGAGTTGTTTAGAACAGCAGGGATTGTTCATCAAAGCTCTTGTGTTTACACACCCCAACAGAATTGGGTAGTAGAGAGGAGACACAGACAGATTCTAGAGGTTGCTAGAGCTATTAGATTTCAAGCTAATTTGCCTATCAGATTTTGGGGTTTATGTGTTCAAAGTGCAGCTTATTTGATTAACAGAATACCATCTACTGCATTGTCAGGAAGATCTCCTTTTGTTATGTTTTTTGGCAAAGAACCTTCTCTACATCATCTTAGAGTTATGGGTTGCTTATGCTATGCTGTCAATCACCATACTCATGGTGATAAATTTGAGACAAGATCCATCAAGTCTGTGCTTATGGGCTATTCTACCACCCAAAAGGGATACAAATTATATGACTTATCTACTAAAACCTTCTTCATTAGTAGAGATGTTATATTTAGAGAAGATCAATATCCATTTCAACATATTCAAGATGAGTCCTATGACTCTTCTTTTTTTGAAAATTCTGATATGTTTGTTTCTGATGATTCTCCTACCATCCCTTTACATGAACCATTTATTACTTCTCCGGACCCAACCTCCATCACAATTGATTCATCACCTAGTCCAATCTCCCAACCATTTGACAATTCTACTACTACTGATCTTAGAAGGTCTACTAGATCTTTTAAACCTCCTGGATGGTTGCATAACTTTGTCCATACTGCTACACACAGTCCTACACATTCCCCTACATACTCTACTGCTCACCCTTTATCCACATACATGTCCTAATCCTCCATTTCTGCTTTATATTTTCACTCACTGTGTAATTTTTCAGCTATATCAGAACCTACTTCTTACAATAAGGTTGTGCAGTATTCATATTGGATTCAAGCTATGGAGCTAGAACTAAAGGCATTACATGATAATCATATTGGGATCTAGTATCATTGCCTCTTGGGAAGAAGGCTACTGGGTGTAAGTGGGTTTACAAGGTCAAGTTTAATGCTCAAGGTGAGGTAAAGAGGTATAAAGCTCAACTTGTAGCTAAAGGGTATACACAGCAAGAAGGACTGGATTAACAAGAGACATTCTCTCCTGTTGTTAAAATGGTAACAGTGAGGGTAGTACTCTCCTTAGCTGCTATGCATGGTTGGTTTCTACATCAAATGGATGTTTTTAATGCCTTTCTATAGGGTGACTTAGTTGAAGAAGTGTACATGGTTACTCCACCTGGTTTACTACAACAGGGGGAGTCTAAAGTCTGTAAGTTGAACAAATCACTTTATGGTTTGAAGCAGGCCTCTCGACAATGGAATTTGAAGCTTAGTGAGGCACTTATAAGTTCTGGTTTCATTCAGAGTCACCATGATTATTCCTTGTTTACCAAATGTTCTGGTTCTGATTTGGTCCTTATCTTAGTTTATGTGGATGATCTTCTGATCACTGGTTCTTCTTCTCAGTTGATTCAAGCCACTAAACTCATGTTGAACACTCATTTCAAGATCAAGGACCTGGGGGAAATGAGATACTTCCTTGGTCTTGAAATTGCAAGGAGCAGAGATGGTATTATGGTAAGTCAAAGGAAGTTTGCCTTGGACCTTATTTCATATTTTGGGCTTGCAGGCACCAAACCAGTTAACACACCTTTGGAAGTTAATCAAAGGTTCACTAGCCAAGACTTTGACATGAGTTATGAAGCTCAGGATACACATGAAGACATAGTTCTTGATGATCCAACTGGCTATCAGAAACTAGTTGGTAAGCTGCTATACCTCACCATGACAAAGCCAGACATTAGCTATGTAGTGCAGAATCTCAGCCAATTTATGCATAAACCTAAGAAGTCACACATGGAGGGTGCATTAAGAGTGATAAGGTACTTAAAAAATGCACCAGGTCTGGGAATTATGCTGACATCAAAGGTTTGTAAACAACTTTCAGTCTATTGTGATGCTGATTGGGCTACATGTCCTATGACAAGAAGATCTGTTAGTGGTTTTGTGGTGAAAATTGGAGATTCATTGATTTCATGGAAGTCGAAGAAACAAAATACTGTGTCAAGAAGTTCTGCTGAAGCAGAATACAGAAGCATGGCTAATGCTGTATCGGAAGTGGTGTGGTAAATAGGTTTGTACAAAGAGCTGAAGATGGAGTTGGAATTACCAATTAGATTGTTTTGTGATAGTAAAGCAGCACTCCAAATTGCTGGTAATCCTATCTATCATGAAAGAACTAAACATATAGAGATTGATTGCCACTTTATTCGAGAGAAAATACAAGAAGGACTCATTCAGACAGAACATGTGCCTTCAAGAATGTAGCTGGTTGATATACTAACAAAGAGTTTAGGGAGAACTCAACATGATTTCCTATTATCCAAGCTGGGTGTATACAACTTATTTGCACCATACAGCTTGAGGGGGAGTATTGAAAATAATAGATAACAATTAGTTGAGTAATTAGTTGTTAGTTAAAGTAGTTAGTTGGTACAACTATACAGCTCATTAGTTAGTTATGAGCATAAATTAGTTATAACTGTTTTACTGAATTGGTTATGAACATGTGATGTATATATACATGTAGATATTGATCTTATCAATATACAACAAACACATTTTTACACTACATTTTGTTATTCCTTCTTCTCTCTTCTCCAATCTTCACTTCTGCGTATCACATTCTTCTCTGCACACACCTGCACACAAATCACCATTGAAGAAGTTAATCAGCTAAGTAGTTGAGCAGCTGAGTCTTCATTGAAGGTGTTAACAAAATCAAGTATAAATAATGTCATATATAGTTTTGTTTGGCTCAAGATTATATACTATTCAAAAAATGACGATAAAAATATAGATATATGTAAAATATAATTAAAATATATGTATACTATTTATGATATTTTTTTCATTTTATATTAATTGAATTATTGATATATTTTTCATTTTTTATTTAAATTAATTATTCAATTTTTTAAAATTATTTTTAAAATGCTCTTCCCGTTTTATCTTTCACTAGTTAGTATTGGTATTAATTATTAATTAATGTTTAATAATTATAACTATAAATTTAATAAATCAGTAAGAATAAAAATAGAAATTATAATTATTTTATATTTTAATTTTTTTTTTAAAAAAATATGAAATATCTCAATAGTTCAATTAATATAAAACTAAAAAATAGTCATTAACCATACCACCTCTATTGTAATCCAATATTAAATGGTTACCCCACCCCCCGCATCTCCCACAAGGTAATCTTTTTCCACCTCCCACTCCATTATTTAATGTACTAATAAAAGCATTCCCCAAAGGCCCAAACACATGATTCAACACCACCACAATCTTTAGTTAAAATCTACAGATTCTCGTGTAGAGTCGGGACTTAAAATAAAAAATAAGGAGGTTTAAAATTTGAAAAAATATTTAATATATGTTATATTTATTCAAAAAATTATTTATTTTAAATAAAAATAATATAATTTGCCATTAAAAAGGATTTAGATGAATTCCTAACAACAAGGCGGATGGCTACACTACCACAGATCTATAACCAACTTGCAAACTTAAATTTATTTATATAAAGAAATATATGATTTCGTACCATAATATAAATTATCTGAATGTAGTAATATTTTGATACATTCTAGGTTTCTAATTCTTGAGAGTGAATTTAACTAGTTAAATAAAATTATAAGATCCGAATATCATATGATTCACAAGCAAAAAAGTTTCTGTGATATAAACTCAAATCTCACTCTGACAGTAGATAATCAAAGAAACAACAAAACAATCAAAAGAAAACTGTAAAACAATCCTACTACAATTACAAAAGTTACAATTCAGAGCCATTTTATTTTGGCCAAACTTATTTCAGATCTAAAACATAACACCAAATCTAAAATAAAAAATAAAAATTACAGTAACAAATGGGCAAACCAAATGAACAAAACAGGGGTTACCATAGCTCCGCCGTTGAATCTAAACCCACCGTTCTTATCCGCCGTCGAATCAGCAACTTTGCCTTTGCGACTAGCAACCGGAGAATCCGCCGGAGAAGCCGGCGCTGGTGGTGACTTGTGTTTCTTCCCGGCCGGTTTCGGAGACTCGGCATCTGCTTCAGGTGTCGGTGCTGGTGCTGGTGCAGGAGTTGGAGCTAATTTGAACAATTCGATTGGCTCTAAAACTTCATCAATCGAGAAAATCGCAACTGGCTCTTTATCAAATACAGTTCCAGTGATTTTCCCTGTAACTATTTTAGTCTTCAATGTCACATCTTGTCCGTCATTTTGAACAACGAAATCGTAGTTATTAGCTCCATCAGTAGCTAAAGTGTTCATCAAACCATTACTCGTTCTCAAACTCGACATCGATTGATAAACCGGAACTCCATGATATTCGAGAACTGATTGTTTTCCATCCGCTGTTAAATTTTTGAATTTAGGTGAAAACGATTTCATTGCATCGTCTGTTGGACAAAATATTGTTACACCTCCTTCTACATTGTCCTCGAATGTCTTCTCAGCCGGTGAACCTGATAGTGTATCTGCAAAACTTTTACATCCATGAGCTGACATTAGAGATATGATACTGATTGCTGCAGCTGGTGCTTCTCCTTTTGCAGATAGCGACGGCTTGGTTTTACTGATCTGACTGTGACATGGCAGAATAGCGGCAAAGAGAATAATAATCAGAGTTGTTGCTGCTGATCGGAGCTTCATTTTTCTCCGGCAGACGGAAAATGGAAACTGTGGCTTGTTGTTTAGTAAAAAGTAAGTGTGGCTGTGTGTGTGATTTTGCCGATGAGATCTGAAAAGAGCAGATATTATATTGAGCAGAATAGAAGGTGTAATTACAGATAAAGCCAGCCACACTGAGGGGTGGGGTATAGCTGAACTGGCAATCTGGTTATTCAGGTAAAAATCAGGTTTATGAATTTGGTAAAAATTATTGGAAAGTGATTGTTTCCTAATTTAGCACACATGACACATCTTTTGAGCTCAATGTCCATTTATATATGTATAGGTATATTTTAGCAAATTAAATTAGCGTTTTGTCAGATTTTTTCAAATACTTTTGATAAATATATTTTTTTGGTGAGATTTTATCATGTTTTGGTTATAATATTTTGAGAAATATATTTAATCTTTGTAAGAAATATGATTTATACTCATAATTTTTAAAAAATTATCAAAACTAACTATAGATTTGTATGATATGATGACTTTGTTACTCTAAGCTGATTGTTCATCATTATATCAACAATCATATCATCACTTTCATATTCACTGATATTCCATTTGATGTTCACGTAGATGATTATGTAAAACAATGCAAATAACTATTATAGAGGATGTTGTTGTAAAAGATAAAAGTTTGGCGTATAATTTGAATTATTAAAAATATCTGAATAATGAGACTTGACCCAAATACTAATTTTTTCTAGCATTTGAAAATTTTGATTATTTGCCAATTATATTTACTAAATAATGGTGAATTGTATGGACAAACACTATTTGCTAAATTTTTTTCTCAAATTTTACTTGAAAAATCTATGGCCCAAAGGGTCCTAAGAATATTTTCTTTTTTAATTATTTCAATTTGTATATTTCACTATTCTTTTTTACTCGGATTTTAAGAAAATGAAATAAATCTTCAATGAAATGATTTATAGTCGCATAAACATTAATAACTAATTTTAAATCACAAATTTTAAAAATCTTTCTTTAATTCTTAAACTATATATTAAATTGAGACAAGCAAAATATTATATTATATTGTTATTTATATATAATAATAATAATTATTATTATTATTATTATTATTGTAACTTTGAGCTTGTCATCTTTTAGGCTAAATTAGTGGCTCCATTACTCGCCCTTCGAGCTAGGAGGAAATGCATAAATATCTTATTTTGGTAGTTGTTTATGCCTTAGTTTAAAATTTAATTTCTTATTCACATATAACTACGGACATATGGAATTGAAGTTGATAAACTTTTTGTGTTTGAAATCGCAAATTTTATATGAAATTAGTAGGTCACATACATTATTGAACTTCAATTACATACAACTGAAGTTCATATATGTTTACTTGCACTTTAGATACATGAATTAAAGTGAAATTATTTTTGTTTTTTATTTCAGCTACATACGACTAAAGTTCAATCAATTTTTTCAAATTTCGACTATCAAAACATGTACAATGATAGCACCATTATCAACAAATTAACAATTTCATTTCTCCCATCTTCAAATGACTATCTATTTTCTTGACATTTATTCGTGGAAGAATTCTACTACTATATAAAAGATGTTTTCTTCCTTGTGTTTGGAATAGAAAAACAAGAAAAAAATTACAAGTAGTATGTTTCGTTTATATTGAGGTCAGTGTAGTGAAGAGAGAGTTGGGAGAAAGAAAAAAATCTTTAACTGATTCACTACTATAAAGAGAGTAATTTTATATCGAAGAAAGGGTTTCTTTGGTGAAGTCTTGTACTCTTCAATTAATGCGGAATTGTTTGTCGCACGCGACATTGTTGGACTATTGTATATTGGAGAGGACAAGTCGAGAGTTACATTGTTAAATCTGTGTAGATTATGTCACAATGAATTTAAGTTTCTTTAAAGAGAACTAGATTCACACCTCAGTTACAATACTTTTTATATTTTATCATTTTATTTTTCAAACTATAATTTTGATTTAATTTGTGATATATGTTTATATCAACAAACCTAGCTATAACACTTGTATTTTATTCACTCAATTAGGAAGAGTACGTAGATGAGACCAAATATACTTTAAAATAAGTTATGCCCGTCAGATTAAATTATAAGAAGATTTTGTCTGAATTGGAAGGTGTACCAATAATGAGTATTGAACATGAAAATGTCCAACTAAATTTATATATATAATTTAATCTAATTGTTTTTCTTTATTTGTGTCACTTGTTTGGAATGAATGAAATATTTGACTATTATGAAATACTACCTCCGTCTCATTTTATATATCAACTTTTAAATTTCAAGAGTCAAACAACTCTATTTTTTATCGTAAATTTTTCATAGATCTATTAAACATTTTGAATTATCAATTATTGTGACTCATATTACTTTTTACGTAGTTTACAAATATATAAATCTCATTTCAAAAAAATTGAAGATTCCATGCGCAAATTTTTTCGATCAAACTTAAAATGTTTTGACTCTCAAAACATAAAATGAGACCCTTTGGGGTAGCCCAGTGGTTTGAGCTTGGGATTTCCATGTTGAAGGTCTCAAATTCGAAACTCCTTGCCAGAGAAAGCAAGGGATTTGCATTATGGATCGAGCTCGTCGCACCAAACTTGTCTAGTGCGGGTTACCTCTCCTATGTGATTTGCGAGCTATTGAATAGAAGCGAAGTTTTACCCTGTGCGCACCCAAAAAGATATCAACTACGAATTTCCTTTACATAAAATGAGTCATATAAATTTGGACTGAGGAAATAGTTACTTTCTCATCAAGAGTTTGTTTAAACAAGTGGGGAATAATAAAAAAAGGTATCCAATGAACAAAACATATGTTCCATTAGCAGAACTGTTTCACCCTTTATCAAATGTATCAGATGAAAAAAAATCTATTTAGGGAGTGCCATTTCCAAATAAGACTCGTGATTCGAATTTAGTCACCGCATCAATGTAGGCTCCAAAGAAGAAAAATAAATAGGAATAGAATGAAATGAGCATCTTATATATGCCCAAATAAGAGGAGAAAGAAAATAAAAGTTGTAGCTGTCAAGTATGTCCCAAGTAATATAATGCCACGTGATTCCACTGAGGCCTCTACCGACAGGGGAAGCCAAAGCGCCGTGGCTTGTGCTAGGTTTTGCGTGTCATGGCTATCGATTTCTTTTTGCAAAGCTGCACCAAAAACTTTGTTATTAATTCCATCTTTGTTTATTACTACTATTATTTTCAATAATGGAATCTGTAAGCAATCATCCTGCCCTGCACCATTTGTCATCCCTAGAAACTTCAATTAGAAAACTTGATTCAACTTTTCATAGTCAGTCAAACCATATGGTGAACTGATGTGGTATGAGCATACTAGCACAACAATCTAATGTATTCACTAGGGAAGTTGATATATCTAATGATGTAAGAGGAAATAAACGAACACAGTTCAGGTTTATATCACTTGACTGCACCAGACTTAGCATAAGATTAGAAATGTGTATCATAATCTGTATTCATATTATAAAGTATAATGTCAGGGAAATTTTTATCTTTGGCTTCCAGAGCAGTTTGACAATAAAGCAACATAGTGCAAGTCCTATGCATCCTTGCATTAAAGAATGAGATTGCAATGAGCTTTTCCGAAACAACCTTTCAACCACACACAAGGTAGGGATTTTAGGTCTGTGTACACTCTATCCTCCTCAAAAACCTCACTTACACTGGTATGTTGTTGTTGCTGTAGATTGCAGTGACCTTTACATGAAAAAATGGAGGTGTTCCATGTGCAGAGCTTTACACTCTGCTTTGTTGCTTGATTCTATGTTGCTCGGACTCAGGAGCGAGTGCCCGACCAGAGGTCGGATCCTCTATGATCAAAATTTTTAGATCCGGGAATACGAATCCATGTATGGATATGGGTGCGGTGATTCGTCTACAAATAATTCAAAGAACTAAAAATGAAGTTATAAAACCTAAATTATGAGATATTATGTGGAAAACTTGAGGAGAAAATCTTGATCGAGAGGAGAATCCTGGAAGGAGATAAAAGGAAAGGGAGTGACAATAGAAATTTATATATACAAGGTATTCCATTTTCCTCAATTTTACCTTAGTTTTGTTTCGTGCACAGAAATCATTGACCAGCTCGGGTACATATCTCACACCCACGCCATGTCGACACCGGTGCGGTGCCAAAAGTAAAAGAGTCCAAGCAACTTAGGCTTGACTTTTTCTTGGACCTCAAAGTCCGTACGCAACAATCTCAATTTAAATGTCATAAAAACCACATACTTAATGTCAATGTAATACCTAAGAATAGATTTCAGAAAACATAATCGACATTTTTGTCATAATTTCATAATTCATGGTGGCAAAGAATGTCCACTAGCCAACCACTCAACTATTCAATCAGAAAATTGAAGTGGTGAAATCAAGTCCATTGAAGGGACAAAAGGATATCCTACAAGTAAGGAGCAAATATTTGCCTTTTGGGTTTGAGTATCAACATCTAAAATATCTTAACATCCCAACACATTTACCATCTAAAGGTTGATATGATGACCAGGTTTCCTAAATAAGAAAAAGATGCAGATTCATAAAACCTGCAGCTATTAAGAGCATTATTTCTTCCGTCCTAGTTTTAGCTTATTGTTTTTCTGTCCAAGGGTAAACTACTTTTAAAATTACTATACAACAAATGGAAGAGGTACTGGCAGAGAGGCATACTAGCATTTTACATAAAGAAGGTGTATACTAGATGCCAATACCTTTACGTAAATCATCAAAGTCTCTGTAATTAGCGAAAGCTCTAGGTTGGGGTGGAGGACATTATCCGAATTGTCTCAAAGAATAACATCAAAACCTGATACCTAACTTCCGTGTATCTCTGCATACTTGCCCTTTTCAAGATAATACAAAACGAGACCCTTACTTAAAATCATGATACAACTGGCTACTAGGATCATGAATTTCTTCCTTAAACACCAACATACCGATGATGTAACATGTTACCTCATCCAAAAACCAAAAAAAAGAATGGTGATGTAACTAACATGTTACCTAGAAATAGGGATTGAACTATCTTCATATCAAAAAATGACAGAACTTGTAGATAATATCACCACCTTTGTGGCACTCAATGGCAAGCCATCAAAGTCCATGAAGCTGGAACGAAACTACACAACACGAAAGTGCAAATCTATGCAGAGGCAATAAGATCTTCTATTTGCCTAAGTTGTAGTGGGCAGAGTCACTTGGAACAATTCCAGTTAAGATATTCCATGAAATAGTTGAGGTGTACGCCAGGACATTACGGTTATAAAAAAGAAATACCTCTATATATTTTTGTTAATGCAGATACATAGAAAAAAAGTAGTTACTTGATTAAAGAAACCGAAATGCCATTACAAGAATATACATATCCACATTAAGAAACAGCAAAATGATATGCATGAACAAGGCTCTAAAGAGCATAAACATTTACTTTCGGAACGAAATAGATATTAATTGTCAGCTAAAGCAAAACATAATTAAGTGTACAAAGAGGATGAAACCTCATAAACAAGTAAAATTACGAGTTCATAGCACTTGCCTATCAGCAGCTTCAGCAACAATAGGCAATCTAGGTAGCTGACCCAACAAGCAAGACGAAGTACCATAAACCAAAGATACCAAAAGAAACAAAAACACAGTACTATCAAAGCTCATCATCAAATCCAACCCAAACCCATCACTTGGATTGAAACTCCTCTCCAACAAATCAGGAAAAATGAGAAGCACATCAAGAACAATAGCTTGCATAGTGTTGAACCTGACATATCTACTAAAATTAGGATTTCTTACAACAATAAAGTAGAGTGTAAAGAAAACCAACAACCCGTTAAGCGGAAAGCTCTTAAAAACCCTTATAGCTGGTACTAAAGGTTGAATAAGTGTTTGTATTGGAGCAAACTGTGTGATTACATATTTACCGTACTGAACACCATCAAAGAAAGGGTAGAAGTAAGTTATGGCGGAGATTAAACGATCTGGACCATCTACTGAGTCGTCGTTCTTAGATTGAGCTCGAATTGTTGGCCTTTTAGGGTTTCTGAGTTTTGTTGAGGGTTTCAGTAGAAGAAATGGCGAGTGTTTGAGTGTAATGGTGGTGGATAAAAGATTGGTGATGGCCATTGTTGAGGATGGCCAAAGATATTTGTTTTGGGGGGGAGAAAGAATGAAAAAGGGGAAATTGGATTAGGTCAGCAGTCAATTGAAAATCCTGATGGAATTGCGGGTCGGGCTACATTGATACCATTTGAATATCCATAATTCCATATCCATTTTGGAGGAAAAATGTCTACGGGTCAAATACATACGCAAGTCTTTAAAGTTGTTCGTGTTTTTCCCAGTTACCTCAACTAATCTAGATTCCTATTGAATCTTTTAACCCCCTATAATTTGATCTTTTTAAATATTCTTGGCTAATGTGGAGCCAAACGTGATCTCACGTCCTTTAAGCGTGTGCAGACGCTTTAAAAGCGCTGATGTGGATCTTGAACCATCCACCAACGATTTTCTTCCCCCTTTTAATCCTAATTTCTCCCATTCTTCCCTTATTTCTCCTCTTTTGTTTCTCTTCATCATTATTTCTCCTCTTTAGCTCATTATATTATATCTCTTTTTCATTGATTTCTTTTTAATCATCAAGTTTCAATGTCAAATTTATCTACTTCATCGATTTCTTCTTCTTTAACTGCGAAAGTACTATGTCAATATGGGAACGTTGTGAAAATGAAGATCTCATGGACGCAATCCAATCCTGGACGTATATTCCTTTGTTGCAAAACTTCAAAGGTAAATCAAATTCACTTTTTTTTGTCCAATATAGTAAAGAATCACCTTATTTATAATTCAATTTTTTTCTTTAATTTTGTAGGCACGAGGTGGATGTGGATATTTTCGATGGTATGATGATGAAATGCCTGCTCAAGCTAGGAGGGTGATATGGGGTTTGTCGAAAATAGTCAAAACATATGAATTGGAGAGGAATCGATCAAGAAAAATATGGATGATATGCATTATCGTAGGGATGATATTGGCTACTTGGATTTGTGTAACAAAATGATCTTAGTTGGTTCATTTGTCTTCAATTAGATTCCTTCATAAAAGTATGTATGGTAGATTGTAGAGTTCTTTGTGGACAATTTTGATCGATTTTTCTATTGTAAATGCCTTGTGTTTTTATTGTAATGATTTAATTGAAGGAGTGTAGATAATTTATGCCTCAAAAGCAGTAAAAATTGATCATTCATGCCATTAATTTGCTCTAGTGAGCTTCAAGTTTCAAGCAGTCAATACAAATTTCTGCTGCTAATTACACAACCAAAAAGTGATTTTTCTACATAAATTAGGCATTCTTTGGTGCACTAGATGTTCCACGCTTGTTTTTTCTTGAATAAGTGATTTGTTTCAACTGTGAACCAGTGACAGCATCTCCACCATTCCACTTGAGTCCTCGAGGCTTATAACCAATATCAATATTTGTTGGAGCTGCATCCTTATAAACTCTCAAATTGATAATTTTTTCTCCTGAAGTACCAGCTGCATAGAAATATCTTAAAATGAGACTTTATATAGTAGAGTAAGAAATGAACAAAATTATGTATACACTTTCAAATACCATACCAAGCTCAAAAATTGCTACAACACAATCAGGATCAAATCTTACCTTTTTACTTTTTCTTCTACTTGGTAAATCAACACTCTTAACAAATTCTGGATCCAATTCATTCCTATTGTCTTTACTGTTCAATTCTGAGCTATCTATATATTGCTTCACCCCTAATCTTCCAGTGTATCTAGCAGCCTTATTCCTTCCCATGTCTTCAAAGCCTCTATTAATACCAGTTGTTCCAAGCTTTATTTCCTCAGTTTGAATAGGTTTTTATTTTTTCACTTTGTTTCTCCTTTCATTTCTAAGAGATCTTACTTCTTCATCAACCTCAGAGTCATCCACATCAGGAAAAGCATCCTCTTGAGAGTCATCACTACTTTCTTCATTTCATTCAGTCCATTCCACATCTAGATCTAATATATCCCCTGGCTCAACTTCCACATTAACATTTTCATATTTAGCCTCATTATTCAACCCTTCACTTGCAGTCACATTTATATCTTCTAAATCTTCTTCAACGACAGACCCACAAAGCAAACCCGTTGTGACCACTTCTACATCATCTACCATATGTTTCACATAAAGGTCTAAAAAGTCACCATCTTTTAGGTCTTTGATGAGATTTACTAAAGTGAAATCAGTGTCCACCTCAATAAAACCATTTTTTGTGAGGTCTTTAACACAGAATCCACCAACAATAATATACCCCAATTGTTTAGTGTAAAAAATAACTCGATTATTGAGAAGTGGTCCTTGTCGATATAAATATATTCCACCTCAGTTTTCCCTTTATAAGTAATTTCAATTTTGTCTTGAATAAACTTACCACCATGATGAAAACGAGTTATAATAATGGTGTTCATAAGATTCTCTCAAACAAAGCCCCAAAATTTTTCTAACACATTATTAATAATAAAAATTAAAAAAAAAACTAACTTTATCCAGATATTAACAACAACCACATTGATACTAAAACTCAGCATATATCAATAAAAAAACACAAGCTAAACACATATATTAAAAACACACAACCACTACAACAATAAAAATTACATAGAAATTAAGGAATGAACTTACCTCACACTCATCAACTCGGAAATCGCGAATGAACTCCAAAATCGTCTACAATCTTCGATGATTCCTTCAACAAAACACTCGAAATCACTTTAAAATCTAAGAATTTCAGCTGTAAAAGTCATTGAAAGGGAGAGATTCTTAGGGTTTTCTTGTTTAGAAACGGGTTAGAAGTGTTTTGAGGAGAAATTGATTTTTAGGTTTGATGATTTAATATATGCCACTGACGTGTAATTGGGTTGGAGTGTATTGGTCAAAATTTTCACGTGGGAAAGGTTTATCTCACGCGCCCAATTATCAAAAATAATTTATTAAAATTTGGCTCCACATCAGCCAAGAATATTTAATAGGATCAAATTATAGGGAGTTAAAGGATTCAATAGGAATCTGGGTTAGTTGAGGTATCTGGAGAAAAAGTGCAAACAACTTTAGGGACCTGCCTATGTATTTTGCCTATCTACAAATTTGTCAAGAAAATATATAAAATCATCATTTAACTTGTATCCGTTTTTTTGTAAGTACATACCTAGAGTGTGTTTGGTATGAAGGAAAACATTTTCTAGGAAATGTTTTTCAATTTCCCTATGTTTGGTTGAAACAAAAGTTTTGGAAAATGTTTTACAAATCAACTCATTTTTCTCAAAATTAAGGAAAATGACCTCCCTTCAAAAGTTAAGAAAAATATTTTCCAAATCTCTCCTCCAATTTCAAATTACTTTTTTTCTTGGGAAAAATATCAATTTTAAAAAAATATTTCAAGTTCAAAATTTTATTTTTTCAACGGTTCCTGACCCCCCCTCCCCTCCCCAAAAAATTAATTTTGCTTTTTAAAAAAATATTTTCAAATTCAAATTTTTATTTTTAAACTCTTAACACCCCCCCCCCCCCTGCTAGACCCCTACCAGTCCTCCACCCACTCACAACCCCCATAAAAATTAATTTTATTTTTTTAGAAATACAAGTGAGATTAGAAAAGGGAGGAGACAGGCAAGAGAGAGAGAGGGCAAAGAGTGGAGAGAGGTGAATTGTGAATGTATATCGGTTAGATAATTGTGTGTGTGTGTGTGTGTGTGTGTGTATATATATATATATATATATATATATATATCAATTATTGCATTTATATATCTGCATATAATTGAATTGAGTTAAAATATTTGTATTTGTATATTCAACAAAGTGAGAGAGAAAGACAAAAGAGAACAGAGCAATGGAGGATTTGTATTTATATGATTATAAGTGTATAGGGCGGAGAAATTATGTATTTATATTTTAATATCTTGTCTTTTTCGCTTTATGCAAACACAATTATACATTTGTGTTTATATGAAGTGAGAGAGATTGACATAAGAGAAGAGAGAGAGACTAGGCAGGGAGAGGAGAGAGGCAAGGAAGCGATGACTGAAAAAAAGAGTAACGAGTGAGATCATAGAGAGAGGAGGGGTGAGAGAGAGAGAGAGACAGGAGAGAAAACGTAATTATATATAGAATTAAGTTTCGAATTGTAATTATTGCAAATATAACTATGTTAGCTAATTAACTAGTATACGTTTGCTTAACCACGTAATTTCCCTAAAAAATTTTTATGTTATTATGGAAAAACTACATAAATGGACCATAAAATTCAAAATAGTTACATGTTCATACCTCAATCCGAAGTAATTCAAGAAATATTCATTCTCTCAAAAAAGTCACAACTCATACTCCTCATTCATTAAGGTTGATAATTTCCGCTTAACTCATACTAAATTCGTATAGTATATTGTATCGATTTCATTGACTAATGATCAATATCTGAACAAGAAAGCTTAATGATACCATAAAAATTATCATTATCTAATCAATATACATTATGGTAGAGGGTGGGGGTGGGGAGTGAAGTAAGATTTTTTTAAAAACATTATAAAATTTTTTTATAATAAAAACTTATGGGGGAGAAGGTGGTGGACTGTCGTAAGAAAAATGTTTTAATTTTTTTTTTAAAATCAAAATTGTGGGATAATGATAGTTTAATTTTTAACTAATACTAATAATTTATTTATTTTTTGTCAAGTTGAAATAATTTAACCATTTGATTGTCAGGTGATAAGAATTGTATTACATATAATTGAATTGTGTTTCTCAAACTAATCAGAAAGGGACAGAACTTTCATCGAGCAATGAGTGTCAAGCGGCACCCCTTCACCCATTTATCTATACATATGTCAAAATTAGAATTGTGTCAAAACGAGCTTAACCTATGGCCGGCCCAACCCAACCCATTATTAGGATAGGTTTGGAATATATTTTTTCGAGCTCATTTAAAACTAGGGCTTATAAGCTCGACTTATATAAGCCCTTGGCCCTTGAGACTTGATTGACACAGGATCGGGTTCGGCCCACAGGCTAAGACTTTTTATTTAAGGGTAACTCACAATAATTTCACTAACATATAATCTAATTACTTAAGTACACACTATGTTGTAACATTATGAATCTTACGAGATTTTGGTATGTCCAGATACATGTATCTCGAAA